TCGAGAGTTCGATTCTCTCTGGAGGCACTGCCTACTTTTGCCGGTTCCGGGCGGCCGGTAAACGTGGACACGTGACTGGTCTGTGCCGTCCGCTCGCCGCCACCGTCACGATCGGCCCGTTGGTCTACAGGGGTATGATTCTCGCTTTGAGTGCGAGAGGTCCCGGGTTCAAATCCCGGACGGGCCCGTGGTTGGGCGGTCTTGTTGCAGCGCAGTGCAACAATTGACAATTCGTTCAAAAGTGAGCTCCTCCCCGGCACGGAATCGAACCCCGGTCTCCCGCGTGACAGATTGTCCTCCTTGCCCGGGGTAAAGAAGAAACGCAGCGCCTTCCGTGAGCACCGCCGCTGCGTGGATAGGGCTTCGCTTCAACGCCAAAAAGTGCGCTACGCTCTTCTTGGAGAAGGCCGCACCTGCAAACACACACGTACAAGGTGACCTTATCAGCCATATCACAGAAGGTGAAACTTACCATCATCTCGGTGTCCCCACGGGGTTCCGAGCCGACCAGACACCGACGGAGACCATTAAGGACATGCTCTAAGATATCAGCTCCGTCGAAAAATCATTGTTAGCTCCATGGCAGAAGCTAGATGCTCTTCGAAATTTTGTCGTCCCACAAATATAATTTGCACTCCAGACGGCTCTCATTCAGAAGACGTCACTTGCTGAAGTTGACAGGCAGCACTCCACTTTCCGCGGCGCGCCAGCCCGGAAATAGTTTTTCTGCCAACTTACCAGGGTGGGGCAAATATCCTTCCCCTTGCATACTTAGCAGATGTCTCAGCCGTCTCACGCGCCTTCCGCCTCCTCACTTCTCCAGACCCAGCTTTTTGCACTGTCGCAGAACTGAGCTTGAAAAGGACAGCCTCCAAGTACCTGAACACCAACGAGGGCTGGAAAGAAGCCGCTGAGTACTTGTCTGGAGACAATGTAAGGAACACACATGCCTTTGCGACTATCTGGTCTCATGCCCGCTCTGCCACTGCCCGCCTCAACTCTAAGATCCCGGGGATCCGGTGGTCATGGTGTGAAGAACGCTCAACCATATGTGTAGAGTGGCCTACACTTGATCATGAGCCAGACAGAGTAGTTGTAGAAGCAGAAGCCAGGAAACCCCTGCAGCCCAAAATGCGGCGGGAAAACCAAAATCACTATAGAAAATCCCGGCTGAAGAAACCCGGTCTCCCGCGTGCCCGCGTGACAGGCGGGGATCGAGGGGGTAATCACTACGTGAAAATGCGTACACCTCAACTTTTCACTTCTCCACTTTCATTCACTTCACGAAATTTTTACAACCGTTTACACCGTTTTACAACGTTTACTTCATTGCTATGCCTATATCCCCTCTATTTTATTCATTTTTGATCTGATCAACGCACGATTAGTCATCTTTGTCCACATTTTCTTTCGGTTTTCGTCACTTTCAGTCAATTTTTTGTCACTTTCACTTTCATAGAAATGTGTACACCTACTTTCTGTAGTGAATACCCCCTCGGCGGGGATACTGACCACTTCTTGCCTGGCCGTCGAGGTGTGCGGACGTGCCGGCTCCGCGCCGGCCTGCACAACGCTCCGCCACCGCCGCCGGCTGTTTGTGTTTTTCGGCCCTGCTGGCCGTCTAACCTCACCATCTGGCATGTGCTTTCTTCACCATGACGTACTTCAACAACACCCCGCAAGAATCGTTCTACGAGGATCTGCAGCTCGTCCTCCTTACCAACGACGAGGAGTTTGTCAAGAAAGCCATCGCCATCATGTCAACAGCCCAGTTCCCTCCGTTTATTGACACGTCGCCACTCAGCATGGACACGCCCTTTGCGTTGACCCCAATGGTGAGGCCTGCTGTGCAGCGAATGTGGGAGAGTTCTGCGAGCAAGTTGGCCTGCCGCTGGCCTGCGACGCCGGGACTTTCTACACGGACGACCCCACCAGAACCTCAGACCGCTACGTCATCGTCGACATGGTGCCCGAGTTCCTGACCGTGCAAGACGTGAGGGACGCCCTGTCGGCCGTCCCCGGCATCACCATCGTGGAGGCCTGCGAAGACGCCGTGGAGGAGCTCGCCTACAAGTAGTGCATGGGCTTAGCCTGGTCTCCGGTGAGTCACAGAAATATTCGCTTTGTTGTGAGGTGTGATCTGGACGAGCTGGGGTCAGTGCTCGCCCGTGGTTTACACATGGGCGGGCTCGTGTTTCGGATGCGGAACGTCCTTCGCGGCAAGCAGGATTGCGACCCGCCGCTTCTGATCCGCTCTGCCCCGCGCGGCCCTGCGCCGCCCCTTTCGGTGGACTCTGCGTCTCAGACGGATGCAGAGACGTCACGCGCTGTGTCGGTTCAGACGCAGCCTCACTGTAAACTTTGACAGGACAATTTTTACGGACAAAATGACGGAGGGTACAGGTTTTGGCCACAGTGGCCAAGGTACAATTCATTGGCCCCTATTCGTGGCCGTTATGCATGGCGCGTGCCAGATCACGGCGGGTGGTCGTGGGTGTCGTGGGCAAAATTGTCTCTTAGGGTATAGCTCAGCGCTCGTGGCGTGGGCCCGCGTAGCGGCCAGGTAGCGTCCCCGCCCCGTGCTCCCAGGGGCTGTCCAGTAGGAATGCTGTGCGGTGCGGTGCTGTGCTCTTGGTGCCGCTCGCTAACCCCGATGTAGCTCAAATAGGTCCAATTCAGTAGTACATCCTGGTTAGATTTGTCGGATTTGCACATTCACTTTGACTCATTCGAAGGTTTAGACAACTTTGGTCACTTGTTGTACTGTGGGTGGGGAACGAGCGGTACAGCACCGCACCGCACAGCGTCCGCCGCTCAAGTGACTAAAAGTTGTTTAAACCTTCGTTTGGGTCAAATTAAGTGAAAAAGAAAGCAAATCCGACAGATTAACTAGGATCTGCTATTATGATGGACTGATTTGAGTTACTTCGGGGTTAGCGAGCGGCACCAAGAGCACAGCACCGCACAGCACCGCATTCCTACTAGACAGCCCCCCACCCCCGACGGAGAGTCCCTCGCCATCATGGAGTGGCCTGGTGTAGTGGCTACCCACGCGGGAAGGGGGGGTTGAAGACTTTTAATGAGCTTTTGGTAGAACTTTTTACCTCGCGGTGGGAAAGTGTTGAGAGCTAGATTTTGAGGTCTGATTTACAGGTTATTTTGAACATGACAGGCATTCCCTACTTAAAAACGAATTATTCCATTGGATAGAATAAACTATGACGTTTCATTTGGTATCTAGATGTTGCCGTCAAACTAGAGGGAAATATTTTAAAATCCAGTGCGCATTTATTACCCACTTCTGAGGTGTGCATTTATTACCCGGCCTGACCCTATGTCAAGTGTTGGTGTCGGAAGGCCGCATACCATCCCATTTACTCGTCTCGCCGCAGGCCTAGCTATATGTGCGCCAGGCGCGTCGCAGCGTAACAGTGTTTCGTGAGATATCGCGAAGCCTGTTATGCGAGACGTGGTCTGGCGTACATGTTGCTAGTTTAATACTTGCACTGTCTCCGCAGCCGACAAGATGGAAGCCGTTCGACACCTCATCCACTCGCCGAACGCTAATGTAGTCTGCCTTCAGGAAGTCCGCGTGCCGCACGTCGGAGCCAAAGGATACCAGGAGTACGTGAACGTCGGTCCGGCGGGGCGAGGCACCGCGGTGCTTGCACGGGACGGGCTGCGAGTGAGCGAGGAGAAGCGCTTGCCCTCGGGGCGCACTGCAGTAAAGGTCAGTGACGTAACCGTGGCAAATGTCTACGCACCAGCATTAACACAGGGCCGGTAGGAGCGCGCAAAGTTCTTCCTGGAGGACCTGGCCGTTGTGCTCGCCGACGTGCAGGACAAGATTGTGGTCACGGGGGACTTCAATGCAGTGATACGTGCCCAGGACACCACGGGGAGGGCGGCGCCGTGCGCAGTCCTGCGCAACGCCGTGTGCCGTGTCCCTGCTCAAGCTCGAGGACGCCTGGGTGAGACTCAGGCCATGGGCGCCAAGATTTACTTTCTTCTCAAAAATCTGCTCTTTGCGTCTTGACAGGTTGTACGTGAGCCAAGCTCTAGCCCCGGGTCTGCGGCGCGCGCGTCCCCTTCTCACCGCTGTGAGCGACCACCTAGCCTAGCCCTCTGCGTGGAAATGGATCTGCCCGTGCCCCGCGACCCCGCGTCCGCCCGCCCCCGCGGGGGGCATTTGAAACTCAACCCAGTTGTCCTCAGCAGCCAGGACTTTCTGTCCCGCCTTGGCGCCATCTGGGAGAGCTGGAAGAAAAAAACGTTAACACTCTGTGTTAACAAATAGACGATCCGAATGAAAGGAAATTTCATACAAAATTATTGCTACTAATTAAATACGTTATTGCTTGCTAGAACTAGAGTAGTTACGACTCTTTGTTCTGAGATTCACGGAACAAAATCGGGGACTAGCACTGCTTATGAGTTCCCTTGCGAGACCAGGCAGTTTTTGGACGATTGATCGGCGACGTGGTGATCGCCCTCGCTTTGGACGAGCACTAGACCGAGCATCCAGAGGTGCTCGTCGTTGGAGTCGAGGTCTCGGTGGCCCTGCGCCCTGGCCTGGGCCACCTTCAGGCAGGCCAGGCTTGGAAGAGTGTTGAGTGTATATTGTTTGTGGGGCTGAGAGCGCCTAGATGGGGCGTGGCCTAGCGCACAGTATTGATTGTTGGTGGGCGGGGGGAAGTTGGGACGCACCGCTCCCCCGCGCGCCAAACCTGCTGGTATAGACTGGATCGTCTAAAAAGGGCAAGTTTGCGGATGTCATATAGTGGTGGGAGGAGGGGAAGGGGAGGCTGAGGTCCTTCTGCGCCGCGCGGACCCGCGAGGTACGTAAAGATGATGAGACGCTCATTACCTTTTACCACGACCGTGTAGCAGAGCTGTACGCCGGGAGGGTAGGCAGCCAGACCGACGCAGATGCCGAGTGCGAGGCCTACTACAGGCTGCGCATCATGACCTTGATGCGGAGGCGTCTACTCGGCCTCGAGGCGCGCGCCAAGTGCGACACCCCGTGCCAGGACGAGCAGATGTCGATCCACCACGTCGCTGCTGGTATCCGCCGTACCGAGGCCAACACCATCGAGAGCCTGCGGGACGCGGAGGGGCAGGTGCTGACGCAGCCGGAGGTTATCGACGCCCACATCAGGGAGTACTTTCAGGAGCTGCTCCGTGGGC